CTGAAAAAAATGAAACAGATCTGTTTGCTAGAACTATGTTTTTTTTTAGTATTTTGACTCTAGTACCGTCATTTATTTATCAAATTTAAAAAGGCTTTTTTTATTAAAATGATCAGCAGAGAGCTCTGCAAAGTTCGATAGATGAAATATTTCCTGAGATCTATTTGTTTTTCGTGATGGACTACCCATTAAAAATGCTCAATTATATGTCTAAAAATTTTGGAACTTTTGATAATTCTTTAGCACATAGTCATTTGATGAATTGCTCTAAATCCCGTTTTCGACGAGGTTTCATTTGGCATAAGATTTAATGTTGATATAATTTGTATTTGGAGCTGTACCTTCTTGAAAAATATTATTTGCTATCTTGTAGAATCAAATCGGGTTCAATGTGTTAAACAAAATAAATAAAAACATTACATACAATTTCGAAGTAAATTTTCAGCTCGATACATTGAGTCTATGAAGAATACAGCAATATCAAAAGTCTAATACAATGTTGACGTTACCTAAAGTTCGCTAAGAGTATATGAGACTTTGCATATCTAATGAAATATCAGTAGTTATAGAAAAAGCAAAATATAAATACTCTAGCAGTGGACTTCGCTTTTCTGTAAAGGATTTTCTTTTCATATGAACTGATTTATTCAGATAAATATAAGAAAAAATTTAAATAAATTTAAAACAAACGAACAAATTTATTATATATATATATATATGAGAGATAAACTGATATTCCTTTTTTTTCCTCTTACAAAAAATAATGATAATCCATTGAATGAGAAAAGTCCTTCTGTTAAGAGAGAAGTAACGCATGATAATAGTAAAGTCCGTTGAGAAATAGAAAAGTTGGGTATACTACCAGTATGGCATAAATTTGGTGTTCTTTTGCTTAACTAGTAAAGTTCTTCTATTCACTAGCAAACTTTAGATAAAGTGGATAATTTCGAGATCTTTGACAGCCCTCAACTTCTCTTTATCTTTCTGAGACTTATCAATCGCAAATTACATATATCAAGTGTTACAATGATAATTTATGAGTATTCTATTAAGTACGGTCATATAAATAACTTATGAAGTGATGACTGAATGTTAATCGTAAAATTTTGTTTTTTTTTTACTTACATAACCATTTTCAAGCATCCTTATCTGGTTTTCTTCTTTGTTGAATTATGCGCAAAGTCGAAAAATGAGTTGTCTAAATATTACATCAAGGTGATATTTTGATAAGATATGAGTTGAGATGAATTATAGACATCATAGTGGGTAAGTCAAAAGGTAATGATGTCCAGTGAGTGAAATCATGAAATTTAGATTTTTAATGGTTTCTCGAAAGTTTGATATATGATAAGTTTTAGTCATGAATTGAATTTTATACTTCAAATCAAGTTAACAATATGTTTGACTAGGAAACCACGTAAAGTAGTCAATTTTTACAATCGAACGGAATATTGGAAAGAAAATAGAAAAAAAAAAATCTTTATCCGGAATTTTATGTAGAAATTAGTTTCATAATTTTAAAAATAGCCTATAAATTTCAGTGAGAAGGATTAATTTTTTCTAAGAACATTTAACATTCAAAAATTCTCGATTTTTGTGACTACTTCTGAAATCTTATTGATTTTCGAAGATTGAATATTTAAAAAAAGGAACATTTATTTTGACTGAAACTCTTCAGGAAAGTTTTTGGCTCATGAGACCTACTTATAGACAAAACAATCATGTCAGTAATCTTTCGTTCAATTTTTCTGTTAATATCCATTCCAGTTAGGGAGCTGTGGTTCTTTCCAGACCCGGATTTAAAGTTTTATTTTTTCCAGGCCCGGGTTCAACCTTTTATTTTTTGTCAGACCCGATTACACGTTTTTGTGAAACCACTGTTCTCCAGATGAGATATATAGCAAGAAGATATAACTGTAAGGATGTCAGATATTGATGGAAAAAAAACCTCAGATTTGGATCCGGGCGCACAAAGATGCGGACCCACAGCTTCCTAATTCTAGTAGTAAAAAAATCATCTTGCATATTCACAACATAGGAATATGTATCATGTTGAATGATTCTCTTATACATGCATTATATCATTGTTTTCTGATCTCTACTAATTATCGAAAATATTCTTTCTGTAAAATCAAATCATCGTCTAGTTCGTCGTATTGATTTTTCTTTTGTTCTTTAATTAGACAATATTTTCGTCAATGGCGAGATAATCTTCAAGAAGAAAAAGATGATCGTCAATTAACACAATATGCTATTGATCATTATAATCGTTCATTAAAACGTAAAATTCTTCTTACTTGGAATAATGATATGATTCAACAAGTTTTAATTGATAATGAAAATGAAATGAAATTAAATAAATATCGACAAGAAAAAAATTATTTTTATTCACAAATTATTTATAATAAATGGAAACAAAAATCAAATGAACATTTACGTAATCGATTTCTTTTACAACGTTCACAAATATTTTATGAAAAAAATTTATTAAAAAAAATTTTTTCTCAATGGAAAGAACAACATCATTTTGATATGCGTATTAAAGTAAATTTAAATAATTAAACTTTATTTTTAAAATATTTCTTAATAAAATAGTTACTCCAACGACAAGCTATTTGGTTTGATCGAATGCGTTTAATAAGTCGAATTTATCTTCAATGGAAACAAAGATGGCAATCTGAACAAAAATTAAACGAAGAAAAACATCGTGCCTTACTTTTTTGGGCTTTACAATTACAAAAAAAAGTATTATTATTATTTTATATTTTTTATATGATTTCGTAACATATGAAGGCCGATTGTGAAATTTCAGAAATATTGAGATAAAAGAGTCAGATAATTTCGATTTAGCACGGTGAATTATTTCTCCCTAGGTGTTTTTCTGGAGGATCACAGGTTAATTAACTGAAATCCGGAGTCTCAGGAAAAGTCTTATAACTCTCGAATGGAACAAGTTCGGAATGTCGGACTTGAATAGATCGAAAGAGAAGAACTTTCTCTATCGATTAGTTCTATTAAAAGTCTAAATCACATGGGAAATATCTACAGAATATCGTTTTCGAAAATTTCCTCCAAGACCTCACCTGATTGATTGGTCAATTGCTGACCAATCAAATTTCGATGATCTTGGGTCTTCTCTCTTGAATAGTGAAAACCGCAGGTCTCTATGATGTTGCTATCAAATGTTATTTAAAACATAATAGAGCATATTATATTTTGAATGGATTCGATTTCCCAATGGATCTCTGAAAATCTGGTGTACACATTTTCTTGTTGGTTTGAATAAGGCATGGCAAAATACATGTAAAGAAATTTGAAAAAAATTTTTTCGAAGTCCTTGTGGATACCTTAGGAACCAATACGATCATATCGAAATAGTGCGAAGCTATTGGGTGTGGGAAATATCTTCTAACAACCTTCTCATCTGTTTCCAATCAAAAACAGCGTCGAGTAAACAATGATCCTATCGGAACATATATTTTTTCTTTTCAGTGTTTTGTAAAATGGTTAATTTATATAAGTAGTCGTAAAAGAAAAAAACTTCGTTATCATGAAGCAACACATCAACGACATGATGAACTTATACGTAATAGTTTACGTCAATTTCTTATCTATACAGATCATACAAGACAAAGACGTCAAGCTTTATTTATTCATCAACAAGTTTATGTATGTTTATAGATATTAAAAAATAAAATAAAATAAAATAATATTATTTTTCTAGTTATATCATGATCGAAATGCATTAGCTTCGAAATATGTTTCCAAATGGCGTACATTTGTTAAAGAATCAATTGCACGTAAACAATTAACACAACGTTTAATACAAAGAAATACAAATATTGTACCAATAATAAATAATCCACTTGATCTTGTTAAATTTGATAATAGTCCACCAAAGTAAATCAAACTGATATGTTGATATTCACATATTTAGAGTCACTTGTCTTTGAATAGATCTGTTAGTTATTTTCTGAATTACTCTGAGTTTTTATTCTTCATAATACTAAGGAAATCTTTTTGTTGATTTTATTTTTTAGCATCGTGACTAATCAATTGTCGTATATCCCAAATTCTTTGTATATGGCAAATTTGATAGATGTTTTGTTGTAGTTATTCTTTTTAAGTTCTTTTCTCATGAGTATATATGAAAAAATATTCGGCTCTTCTTTGAACTTACAGAGCTAGTAAATAGAGATACACGCTATGAAAATTTTTGTTTTCCTGTGTCATGTGGCTGTCACTGATTCTTTTTGTTTTTTCAAGAATAATTCAGCGGAGCAATGGCTTCATACAGTTGAGTTCATTAGAGCATCTAGAGTAATTCATGATATGCACATTTTTATTTTGCGAGATCACATCGATAAAACTTTCGAATTCAAATTTTGTTCATCAGTAGGTAACTTGTAGACTATAAAAAGCTCGTAATAGAATAAAATTATACTTTTAAATTGTATGTTGAAACTTTGCCTACGTAAATGTCACTTATTGCACAAAGTTTCAGAATTTTTAGCAGATTTTGTGTCAGTATTTCAGCGACTAACTAGATATTCGCTAATCAGATTTTCGTAAGTATGTCTTTCAATAACTGACGAAGGTGTATTTCATTCTTAACAATTCGAGCATAGAATATCGAGACATATTCCCTTGTTAGATTTTTATGTATATTTTTTTTTCTAATTTCAATTATTAGAATAACGAATCGACCACGACCACGAAAACCTGCATTTTTATCTGAATCATTTTCCACTACAGCCATAGACAAAACGTAAATTTTTATTCAAATTAAATCTTTTCCGAAAATTTTGTCTTTCTTTTTATTGTAGAGAATCTGAAATACCAACAATTAACATTCGAACATCACCATCATCTCCAAAAATTGATCATTCATTACATTCACCATTTATTAGTATTAAAAAATCAACACATATTCGACAAGATTTATCATCATCACCACCGCCACCACCACCACCACCAATACTTCTTCCACCATCTGCATTTCAAATAAATTCAAATGAAATAAAAATGCCATTATCATCTCGACAAATAATTGATAATAAAATTCAAATATCTCATCGATCATATTCAACACAACCATCAACAAATATTTTTATTAATAAAGATAATTTACTTAATGTTAAACAACGTTTAGAGATTTATCTTAATAATAAAGCAAAACTTAAGTAAATAATTCTGAAAAACAAATTTTCTTTTAAAATCAAATATGTATTTTATTTTAGACGTCTTCGACAACAATTAGCAAATTTATCTCCATCACAAATTGATAAACAAGTAAAATATTTATTTATTTGTTTTTTTTTTGTTGTTTCTATTTTTTAATTTTCTAGCTTGAACAGGAATGTCAACAATTAACTGCATTTATTGCTTCAGAAAAAATTCATTTGACTAGTATATTACAAAATTTATAATATTTTCATGTGCCTTTCTTTTTGTTTTTTTATATCAAACTATTCTTACTTGTTGTTGTTGTTTTTTTTTATCATGAATAATGTATAGGACTTTGATAAATAAATTACATCGGGCTATTCACATAGAAGATTAGGATCATGGTTTTTTTTGTGCTTTTTCTTCTTTTCGTAATCTCAGATCAGTTTAGATTTTTAAGAGAGCTCCCATGAGCTGATCGAGCATCGCTCCAATATACGAAGCATTCGATGGAATTTTTCTTTCGATTTTTTTCGCTTATTCAAAACTTCAATGTCTAAAACTACTAATCCTAAAATTTTAGGTTCTAATACCCTTCCTAGGAAAAGTTAATCAAGACCAACTTTTAGTACTCTCACACCTTTTAAGGAAAAAAAAACAAAAAATATCCTATAAAAGATGTACCAGCTTACGTTTCAACAGATTGTTGAAAATTTTCACGGTATACATAAGAAGATAGAGAATTAAAAGCTGAACAAAATCAACTATTTTAATATAATATAATCTCTAACAATTCTAGTTTTATAAAGCTAATATGAGTCAAAGGTGATCATTTTGATCAATTCAAATAAAACGGTGTATCTTCTGCTCTATTTCAGAATCAAGAGATACCAGAGTGAATTTTATATATATTGTGCAACTTTTTATTCTCTACAAAATGGTAAAAAAATATTTGAAAAAAAATTTCAAATTAATGCAGAAAAGGGTTTACACCTTCGAATTTTTCGTGATTCTACAATAGAATATGAACATTTTTAGCGGTTTGCATTGGTATGACTCAATGATAAACCAAAATAAATACGATACTCGGAATCAGCATGAAAATCTGCATCTATTCATATATATTTTAGCGAAAAATTTTTCCTGCCCATAATTGACCCGTAGTCCCCCACAGCTATATTTCAAAGAAATTTTTCCCCTGGCTGTTCACAGGTCAATTATGGGGAGGAAAAATTTTTCGCTAAAACATATATGAATAGATGCAGTTTTTCATGCTGATTCCGAGTATCATATTTATTTTGGTTTATCACTGAGTCATACCAATGCAAACCGCTAAAAATGTTCATATTCTATTGTAGAATCATGAAAAATTCGAAGGTGTAAACCCTTTTTTGCATCAATTTGAATTTTTTTTTTAAATATTTTTTTACCATTTTGTAGAGAATAAAAAGTTGCACAATATATATAAAATTCACTCTGGCATCTCTTGATTCTGAAACACAGCAGGAGATACACCGTTTTATTTGAATTGATCAAAATGGCCATCTTTGACTCATATTAGCTTTATAAAACTAGAATTGTTAGAGATTATATTATATCAAAATAGCTGATTTTGTTCAGCTTTTTATTCTCTATCTTCTTATGTATACCGTGAAAATTTTCAACAATCTGTTGAAACGTAAGCTGGTACATCTTTTATAGGATATTTTTTGTTTTTTTTCCCTTAAAAGGTGAAAGAGTGCTAAAAGTTGATCTTGATTAACTTTTCATAGGAAGGGTATTAGAACCTAATATTTTAGGGTTAGTAGTTTTAGACATTGAAGTTTTGAATGAGCGAAAAAAATCGAAAAAAAAATTCCATCGAGTGCCTCATATATTCGAAACCTTCGTGGACACTCTCTTAATTCGTTGTCTAATTGAATAAATATGCAGTTCAGTATTCGAATGATTTATTTCTATTTACCATAGTTTTATTTATTCTAGGCTAGTTCGTTATAATGTTAATGATAGCTATGATTGTATTGATATATGATAAATCGTATGATAATTTAGCTAAATGTTAATTATAGATTAATGTAAAAATTAGAAAAATGTGTATAGAATAATGAAAACTTGTTGTCATTTATTGATTAGTAAGAAGAGAAAAAAAAGGTAACAGAAAGAAAAATAACAAGATCTTGCTTTCTTTTTTTCTTTTCCAATTCTAATCAACACGCACATACAACGCAGAAAAATAATCATCGAAGCTTCCATTGTGAACATTTGTTAATGATTATCATGCCAATGAAAAACTAACAGTATGCTAGTGTTTTTTTTTTACATCCATTATAAAAATGATGAAATGAACAAAAATTAATAAATCTTGTTTTCTTTTGAAGAAAAAGAAATTTTAAGACCTTTTATATCATAATAATTTAATGAATATTTGTTTCATTATTTCGAACAACTACATATCATATTTCTTTTTTGTTTATATTTATAAACTTTAATAATTAATTTAGTAAAACTTTCAATTAATGAATCAATCTAATACATCAAAACTTTCTACATTCACATCAGTTATTCCTAATCAACAATCATCAACTACATTTCATGGAAAAGGTTATATTAATATGGGCCCATTAATTGCTAAACATTATGAAATAAAACAAGCTTCGAGTTCAATTGAACCATCAATTAGTAACAATCAATATGAATTCAAAGTCATGCTATTAGGTGATAGTGGTGTTGGTAAGTTGTGTATTTACATAATAGTTTCCTTTTCTTAATTAAATTATAGGGAAAACATGTATACTCATACGATTTGATAATGAAACATTTTTAACTAATAATTTTCATAGTACTGTTGGTATTGATTATCGACATAAAGTTATAACACTTGGAAATAAAAAAATTAATTTACAAATATTTGATACAGTAAGTTGATTATTATTGTTTTTCAACTTTGAAAAGATAAATTGTCTATTGATGAGGAATTATATTTGATTTTTCTTTAAAAAAAAAAACAGGCTGGTCAAGAACGTTTTCGATCTGTAACACATGCTTATTATCGTGATGCACATGCATTATTATTAATATATGATGTAACATCTTATTCATCATTTGAAAATATATCAGTTTGGTTAAATGAAATAAAAGAATATACACATAATGATATAATAATAATGTTAATTGGAAATAAAGTTGATAAATCTCAACGTGTTGTATCACGAGAAGCTGGTGAACGTTTAGCACAAAATTATCAAATTTATTTTCTTGAAACATCAGCTAAAACAGGTCAAAATGTTGAATTAGCTTTTATGACAACAGCTCAAGCTATACTTGATAAAAAATTACATACAAATAATACAAATCATTTATTAAATGATAAAATTAAACTTAAAAATACTGAATTAAATAATTCATGTTGTTAAAAAAACATTTTTTATTTTTCTAATAACTGAATATATACACATATATATGAAATCTTATTTAATATATTTTAATTGTAAACATATATTATTTGCTTGTATTAAACTAAAAGCAAAATGCTGATCTATGAAACAAAAAAAGAAAGAAGCTTATTTCGTATTTATTTGTTTATTGTTTTTTAAATTCTAAATTTTACCTAATAATTGATAAGTATGAACAAATTGTAATAGTGTTAAATTTTTAGATGATAAAATTTCTTGTTCAATAATTTCATATTCATGATTTATTGATTTTTGATATATTTCAAAAATAAATAGTAAATATGAAGATGATGATGGAATTACATAAACTGATGTTTTTTCAAATGTACGAGTTAGAACATAAATTACTGATGCTTGTAAACGAGTAAGAATAGGTGTAGATTGTACATAATAAATACCTTTTTGTGATTGTAACTAAGAGGAAAAAAAATTAATTTTTATGAAGAATTCAAGTTGTGTAATGATTTATATTGTACAAAATTTTCTAGTAATAGCTGACTGTTTTTCTTACTGACAGTGTTGTACTTCTTACGAGGAAAATTCTTGACGTATCGGATTTTTACTGGCATCTGTTGTTCTTCTCAGGTCATCATGACAAAATTGAATTTTGATTTGAAACTTTATCCAAATAAAGTTCTTAATAAGATTAATTTATTGAGAACGTTTCGTTGATTTTTTTTTAAAAATATTCTCATTCTATATTATTTAATTCTAACTGAAGTATCTCTAAATTTATTTTCTTCCAACTCAATTGAAACTATTTAATATTTAATTTGAACAATTTTCAATTTAAATAAAAGAATAATTTCATAAGATCTTCTTTTCTTATTTATTCATGTATCTGTATGTATAAGTCTTTTTCTCCCTTACTCAAAACAAAAAATAACTACAATTAATAAGTAGTCAAAGTAACATTTAAATAGCTATGAATGTTTATAAGTTAGTGCTCTAAGAAATAAAATTCCTTGCTCGAAATAAATCAGTTAGAATAAATAAATAGTTGAGTATTTATTAAATAGTACTTCTAAACAATTATCAACTGTCTACAAGATATTACACATTTTTAAATTTAACTTGGCATCTGTCAATTCTCTTGCCAAGCATTTCATCAAAAACACTTGTGTAGCTCTTAGATACCATGTAGGCATTCTATGAACACTTTCTATTAAGAAAAACACAATAGATTTCATCAATCTTAAAGTTTCCTTTTCCTGTCTGATTATTTTCAGCGAGATTCACTGTTTAACCTATTTCAGTAATAAATATACTGATTGGAATTCGTTCTCACAAGAACTACAAATGATAATCAGGAAATTTTATCTCACTTCTCAAAATTAAAAGTCTTCTTTTGTTCTCTTACACAATGATATATATGATAAATCTTTCTATTCGTCATTTTTCACGTCAATGAACTTTTTCTTTTGTATTCAAAAAAAAAAAAAAGAAACCTAGATTAAATTACTATTCTTTAATTATCTTTACAATCAAAGATTCAAATTTCTTCAAATGAAACTTACATTAATTTGATAATTACGAGCAAATTGTTGAAGTTTTTCAAATTGTTCATTAGAAATTTCTATTGAAGATGAATTTCGAATTGATTGTAAATCAATTAAATTTTCATTCTGTATAGAAAAAAAAAAAAAAAAAACTTTAATTAAAAAAAAAACAAATTATATTATTCTTACTAATAAAATTGTATTAATATTAATTTTATTACATAATTCAAGTAAATATCTATTACAAAAACATGAATTTCGAATATTTTCTGTTTTTTTACCAAATATACAATCAATAATTATTTCTTTATTAGCAATTAATTCACCAATATAAATATGTGATATTGATAAATATTGATCAATCATTATTTGAGATAATGTTTGACATGTATGACATAAATCATTGATTTTTTTATTTGAACATATTAAACAGAAAAAACCATTTTGAATTTGATTTTGAATAATATCCTTATCAATTTGATGTTGATTATTAAATGTACCTGTACGAGTTATACGATTATTATATGAATGAATATATTGAGATTCTAAATTTATTTTTAATAAATGTCGATCATTTGATAATAATTGTCGAATTTGACATTGATCAAGAAATTTATTAAGTATATGATTTTTTATTTTATTTAATTTTTTATTAAATTTTCGAGTTCGCTTATGAAAATAATTAAGATTACATTTAATTGTATTTATTTGATTGAATTGAAATAAATGTGAACATTGAATAAGTTGTTTAATAAATGATAATGAATATGATTGAAAATTTAATTGAAGATTATCCGAAAATGAATTTGTAAATTTATCACGATTAAAATCAATACATATGACATATACTTCAGAATTTCCTTTCTTTAATAAAAAAACAAAAAAAAAAAGATTTTGTTTTTTAGTCTTCCGAAAAAAAACTAAAAATAATTATTCTTACTTTACTTGTTTGTGGTTTAAACATTGATATCTATATAATTTATAATAAGAAATAAATTGAAGTACAAAAAAAAAAGAAAAAGAAAAACTTCTTTTTTTATTTACTTGACGAAATGTTTGATAGAGTAAATAAATTAAATCAATAGTTTCTTGTTCAAATATAGTAAATAATTTTAAAATAAAATTTCCATGTGTTATTAAACATGATAATGCAATATAAATTTCAGTTTTTATTAATGGATAAACGAGACGCTCTTGTTCACCTGGATTATTTTGAACATCAAAACTACCATCAGCTGTTATCTAAGGAAAATATTTGAAATATTAATTAAATCATCCGATATGATTGGAAAAAAAAAACATAAAATTTAAATTCATCAGAGATTATCTGAAATAAAATCATGAACTGCAAACTTTTTATTATTAATTTTACTAATATCTTGAGATTTTTAGATTAGACAAAATTGATTTTCATATTGGCAGACTAATTTAAGAGTATCGAAAAAAAACACACATTGTTGTCTTCCGTCATTATTAATTGTGGGCGAAGGAATTTTCCGTCCGGGATTAAATTGACCTAATTAACACCTATAAAAAATCTTATTTCTTTAATTAGTAGTCACGTCCCATTAAAACGTACTGCTTAGCAAGATGGCATAGTGCTAGATAGGATGAATTTAGCTCATACCAGAGCTTCGCAGGACCAGTACTCTTCCTTCTCACCTCAGGACGGGATGGAACGATAAAATTGAAAATATAGCGGGATGGGACAAGATCAATTCACCTGTGCATCCCGTCAAGTATATACGAGGCAAGGTTGAGGGTATTCTGGAAAAAAATAAAGGAGGTTTACAGAACTTTCTAGGCTTCTTAAAGGTTCTATGTTTTATTCAACAGTCGAACCCTTGAAAACAAGATTCTGGCCATGAAAAGAGGTTTCTATGAGAATGTCAGAACCTTTTTTCAAGATTTCTGTTTTCAGGTAAAAGATAGAAGTTTTCAGAAGCCGAAAATATACCTTATCTCAGATCAGTTAATCGATGAGTCGTATTTAAAGTTGTATTCCTTATTGAACTTTTCATTGTTTATTTTTGTGATAAAAATGTTGTCGTGTAAATATTATTTTGAAACAGATGCTTAGTAAAGTAAAACGATTTACATTGAAGAAGAAAGTATAAATTCGCTGAATTTTTTTCAATCGTACTTCAAAAAAGAAGAGTTACGTGCTGTGGAGCTCTGGCTCATACTATTTTTGTAATGTCTTGCTGAGCATTATGTCGCCTTGCTCAACACTTCACAATGTTGCAACTAATTAAAGAAATAAGACTTTCTTTTATAGGAGTTAATGAGATCAATTTAATCTCGAGTCAGAAATTCTTATAACTCAAAAAATAGGGGCCAACTAGTGAAAAATGACTATTTTTAGAGTGAGTAAAACTTCATTGTCTCATTTTTATTGTGCTTTCAACATGTGGCCTCTTTCCAGCGAATAACCAATTAACAAACGTGATATTATATGTGTACAGGGTATTCCGAACGTCACTATACACAGAAGAAATTTGAACATCTTCCTTATTGTCCTATCGGATGAACTGGCTTTCATAATGATGATAGAGGACATATGCAATTTTCTATCCACATATGTTCAAAATTCTTAAATACTCGTGCAAAGTTGTACTTTCAGATTTAATACACAATAAAATCCTTTCTCAGCTTTATCTTGTATTTCTTCCATTTTTTTTCATTAGTATAGATCTCCAACTATCTAGCTGTCTTTCTTTTTCTGTATAAACATTCACAGAACACTTCTGGAAAAGTCCGACAAAGTGATCTCAAGTCTGGTAACTATGAAAATTCTAAAACTACACCAGTTTAATCGGTTCATCATGCATAATATACATGAACAGAAACTTGGAAGTACATCAGTACAAAAACCAGCTTATTCAATAGAACCATAAGAGAGATATACAAAGTTCTTTCTGTATAGTAGATGCACAAAATCTACCTGTGTATGCCAGCACGTGTTGGATAAAATTTTTCAGTTTTGCGAAAATTGTTGACTGTAAGAGATTTTTCTTCATTTGGAAAGAAATGTTTCTCCTGTAGCAATAAGACAATAAACGTTGCATACAGCTTCTATGATTTATTTATTGATAAAGCAGCGAAGTAGTTTCTTATTTTGTTTAAATGTACAATCTATCACTTTTTGAGATAAAAATAACTTCTATTAATTGACGATTAATAAAGACTTTGTGGTTTTTGTCTTTCAAGTAAATCGATATCTCTTTCGCTTTCTTCGGATGTATAAGTGAAAAACAGAATCTATCTCTTCCTTTATTTTGATAGCAAGGAAGATTTTTCGTTTTACCAACAGATTCTGTATCTCTGCTGGACAGTCCGTATATATTTTATCTATCGGATAATCGATATTCGTTAATACACGATTTTTTAAAAGATGTTCTATCAGTATCGACCTCATCTTTATTATTATTGTTGTTATCTTTGCCGTATTTAAAGGTGAAT